TACTCCCTGCTGGAGCAATTACAACTTGGATTCCTGCTGGTAAAATTTTGGTCACTATTCTGCTGGTACGGATATGGGGCTAATTTTCTGCCATGTTAGCCATTGCCGGCTACCCAATCGTCACCGGTCTGAAATCTTACTTATAGATGTCTCGAAACTTACCTTTTGCCTTTAGTTCCACTTGGATTCTACCCAGAGAATGTTACAATTGGTTCAGCAGGTCCTTTGACTATATATCCGGCTCCTGGTGTTCCGTTTGGACTATCGTTTCTAGGGACAGGATTTTCAGAGTTTGACCTGGTCGGTTTTGCATATGCGTATGAGCAGAAGACGCTGGCTAGGTTGAAGAGACGAGCGTATCCTTCAGCAATTCCTCAGACACAGCTGAAAGATGTGATTGGAAAGTAACATTATTGTGTTCCAAGCAAATTTCAGGTTCTGTTTCAGTGTTTGTGAAGTTAGAAACAGGTATATCGCCCCTGAATCCGACAATGAATAGCATCGCAGTCCATGTGACTTCATCAGTTTGTGACAAGTGGCACATCCTGGCACATCACCATAAATCCATCTCGACGACTTGAACAGGCCGCGATGACTCCATAATTTATAAACAGCTTGCAGAAGAAGTCATGTTATACCCACATGCCTGTAAGTTCCGCGTGGTATAGTATAGCAGTGAGAATTGTCTCCCTTCTTATCTGTTGACACCTTGGGAATAGCTCGCTGTATCCACAAAGGTGAACTCTTTTAAAGGCAGTCCTTCCCTTGCCTTCGTCTACATCTAGTCGACGATAAATCAAGCAATCTCTCTGCTTCACTACCATGGCTTTATCAAATTCTAGGTCCAGCCGGCTATTCCACTTGGTAGCTTTTATTTTCATTTCAAGCTGCTTTATCACGCAACTCAAGGGAGCGCGGGCGACTGCTGAACTAGCCTCCTCCACTACCGTCGATGATCTTGAAGGCTTTCCAGATTTGTACGAGGCGTCCGTCATGGAGCTTCAAGAGGGTCTTGATGCTGGCCTCTTCACTAGCGTTGATCTTGTAACGGTATGTGTGAAGTTCCAACGTATGCTGGTATACTTTATAGCTCGGATAATAGGCATACTTTGCTCGCATTGATGAAGTCAATCTCAAGGGACCCGCTCTACGACCTGTATTGGAACTTAATCCATCTGCGCTGCAGCAAGCAGCTGCACTTGATGCGGAGCGAAAGGTATCAGGAAAGAGAAGCTTGCTTCATGGTATTCCAATATTGCTCAAGGTATTATCGGCCACTTATGGTGATACCCTTTACTCAGTTTGAACTAGGACAACATAGCTACTATTGCTTCTGAAGGTGACCATAATTGCGACACCATGTCTTTGCATGATTATTAAGTTCATCCTTCTTGATAGGGATGAACACCACAGCAGGATCTTTCAGCCTATTACGCTCTATCGTTCCAGGCGATGCCGGAGTGGTGAAGAAGCTGCGAGAAGCCGGGGCTATCATCCTAGGTACTCACATCCAACTTAGTTATTTCGAAACCGGACCGTTCCAACATTATCTTATCATCTAGGAAAAGCCAATCTGTCTGAGTTCGCAGAATTTCGTGGTAACTTGCCTCCGGTTGGTCGGTCGCGGAGGGCAAACCACGAATGCGTACTTCCCTAGTGCAGACCCGTGCGGCTCCTCCTCAGGGTCTGGAGTTTCAGCTTCTATCGGCCTCGTAACTGTTACATTAGGAACAGAGACAGATGGGAGTATCACTTGTCCTACTGATCACAATAATCTTGCTGGCATTAAACCCACAGTGGGACTAACGTCTCGTGCAGGAGGTGTGTTCCATGTTTCTTTTTTATATTTAGCTCAGTTCTTTATGCAATGGCGAGTAAAGTTATCCCGATCTCAGAGCATCAAGACACCGTAGGCCCGCTGTGTCGTTCTATGACCGATGCTGCAATTGTTCTCTCTGTCATTGCAGGAAAAGATCCTAACGACAACTTTACGCTTGCTCAACCTAATGTCGTCCCAGATTATACACAAGCGCTTAACAAGGGTGCTCTAGTTGGAAAGCGTATCGGAGTTCCCCGCGAAGTATTTTTGAATCCAAACGGTACGGATCCTTCAGTATTAGCAGCCTTCGAAGAAGCACTAGACACTATCAGGAGTCTTGGGGCAACCGTCGTAGATCCAGCCAACCTCCCTTCCGCACAACAAATTGCAGCGTCAAAGAATGAGACCGTAGTTTTGGATGTAGACTTCAAGGTAATAGATCACAACCGTGCAACTTGAAAGGTGTTTTGACACATTTTCTTAGATTCAACTTAATGCCTGGTTTGCAGCTCTGATTGAAAACCCCTCTGGAGTTCGAAACCTAGCAGAACTCATAGCATTTGATAATGCCAATCCAGAGCTAGAGGAACCCACAAACTTTACAGACCAATCCGAGTTGGTTTAGCAGTCACTTGGCTTTCTGCTCTGAGAACTGAATGCTCTTTCTCAGATTCATCGAATCCGAGGCAACCACCGGAATGAATGCCCAGTATTTTGCGTCTCTGGCATTTGACAGAGAGTTGGGTGCTACAAGCGGGATTGATGCTGCGCTGAAAGAAAATAATCTGGACGCGTTGCTACTCCCTGCTGGAGGACTTACAACTGTTCCTGCTGGTAAAATTTTGGCCCTCTATTCTACTGCTAGATACGAGGCTGATTTTCTGTCGTTTTAGCCATTGCCGGTTACCCAATCGTCACTGGTTTGCAATCTTACTCATAAGCGTGGAATCGAAACTTACCTTTTGCCTTTAGTTCCTCTCGGATTCTACCCTGAGAATGTTACAATTGATTCAGCAGGTCCTTTGACTGTATATCCAGCTCCTGGTGTTCCGTTTGGACTATCGTTTCTAGGGACAGGATTTTCAGAGTTTGACCTGGTCGGTTTTGCATATGCGTATGAGTAAAAGACGATGACTAGGTTGAAGAGACGAGCCTTTCCTGCAGCAATTCCCCAGACACAGCTGAAAGATGTGGTTGGAAAATAGCGTTTTTGTGTTTCAAGCAAATTTTAGTATTCTGCTTGTGGAAATTACATGGCAGTAAAAAGAATCACGCTGAGTCGCGTAGGATCGTAGTTGATGTGCACTGATCGGTATATATGACGAGACATCGCCGGGACCCATAACCTGGCCCAGTTTGAACAGCAAGCAAAGGTTCTGTTTGCAAGTAATAGAGGCCGCGATGACAAGAGCCGGACAAAGACCTCAAAGCTTTCCCTGAATGCGAGGTGGGAGTTGCTGGTGAACTGTGACTGCATTATGGAATCAATAAGGAGGCGAGGAAAAATTCAAGACCGAACGAAGAGAGTTATGACGCTCCCAGAATTTGAGCTTGCACCTCAAAGATAAACATATTCTGCTAGATTGAAAACTTATGTAGAATGAAGTTCCTGAGAGCAAATTTGGAAAAGTAAACCCGATAGACTGATCATACAAAAAAATACAGACACAATATCATACCCTCATCTAATCTGCTCCCCCTTCTAATGCACGGACAATTCCAAAAGCTGACGCAGCGGCAATTCCACCGACTAACAGAGTTGTAACCGCACCACGGATGATTCCTCCCATACCTGCACTGGCACCAGTAACCTGTGCCTTTATCGCACCAAAAATAAGTAGAACAACGCCGGTTACGATGCACGAATATATCAGCGCAACGTGTGCTTGGTCGATGAAAAAGTAAGGTAACAGAGGGATGAGACCTCCAAGGAGGTATCCCATTCCAATGGTGAAGGCGGAAATGTAAAGACGTTTTGTAGGGACTTCCTCTGCGATGTACGATTAGATAAGGGGTTACGAGAAGAATGACGGCACTGACCCATTCCCTCTCCAAATTTGAGCAAGAATGCGGTCAGACCCACATCATTGCTCCACCTCAACTTGTGAGCCTCTGTGTGATTTGCATTCTCGGTTCCAGCTTTCCGCAAGCTCTCAGCAACGATTCTACAGGCTTTTTCATCAACGCCCAAAGGGCCAAGTATCTCCTCTACTTCTCTTTCCATTTCTCCGCTACAGCTGAGTGTCACTCTCGCGGAAGTTTGTTTTCTGAGAAAGCGAAAATGATCTCGTTCTGCTTGAGAAGCAAGGAATCCGCCGATGCCCATTGAGATGGCGCCAGCAATAAGTTCTGCTACGCCACCGAGGACGACGAGCCGGGAAGTACCAAGTGAAGAAAGACCGGCCGTTAAAGCGAATGGAACAGTAAGACCATCTGAAAGGCCGATGATGCTATGTAATGTTAGTCAGTTATCTCGTAGCAGAGATTCATCGATACTCACACATCCCGGACAACGTCTGGATCAATAAGTGTACGTTCTTCCTGCTTTAATTCTTTACAACACACTCCATCTGCGCGAGATACTCGATCGCATTGGGAGCTAAGTGGTGGTGGCTCTGTTGTGACAGAATCGGTTATAGGCCATACAGGAGGTTTTGTCGCTTTCGAGTTATCGTCGGCGCGGCGAGGAAGGGAAACTGCAGCTACAGATGTATTTTCTGTCGACATCGCAAAGTTTGAACGTTTATCGGGTCCAGTGGTTGTGGTTTGAGGAGACGCAATGAAGTTAATCGCTGGCCAAGGTAAGTACTTCTTGGGAGGGGACCCGGAAGAGACGAGGAATGAAAGGATAACAGACAAGATTTGAAATTCATAAATAAATAAATACTCTTTTGCTGAAATGAATTGTCAGCTGTTGCCAGCCAATGAACACGCGCTGAATTGCTCTTCCAATAGGATGTCTCGCATACTCTGCCAATGAAACTGCGAGGATTACGCATTGCTGCATCCCGAACGATTTTAGAGGAAGCGAGGAAGCTCCGCGGCACTGTACATAGGAAGCAATTAATCCAAAGCCAGTAGCTGCAAGGCAGGCCTCGTGTTTGAGCGCACACGTTGAAATACTTTCAAATCTATATTTGCACTAGGTGCATTCCACAAAAAGAGTGTAATGAGCTCCGTACGACGCCAGCAGGGTTCGAACCTGCGCCCTCAAAGAGGAACAGATAATGCATAAGATTCAAATCTGTCGCCGTAACCACTTGGCTATAGCGCCTTGGAATAGTAGGCCATCCAGTAATTTCTCAGCCGGAGCTCATACACACGGATTCGGGCAGACGGGCAGACGTTGACATTGACAGTCATGAGATCAGTAGTCTTCTTTTGAAGGTGCACAACAGTTAGATCTGGATTCGGTTACAGTGTCTGGGAAAGAGGTCGGTCTTCCACCACCTGAATGCTATGAGATTTATCGTGTCTGCTCTGGTACCGGAAAACCCAGTGTGACTGTTTGCAAAGGTACAAGAGTCTGAGATTCGACTTCAAACTGGCTTTCATTGGTTGAGGTAAACTGCCTTCTTAAGTAATCATCGCCATGTTCTGTCAAAGCTGAATGTCCTTATAAGGCACTAATTATATTTATATTCAATATATTTATATGTCGTATGTACATGCGGCCGAATTTTGCTTTCGCGTCCAAGTCCGTGCGCAATGTGCCAGCCCTGCTCTAATCAGACCTTGTATAGTCTACGCAGGAGGCGACTCTGCTATGCGGTCCTGCGGCCTGAACTTAGGGGACCCCACGGAAGTTCATATGGACCAGTGATACTAACAGGAGTCGGTAAAAGAAAATGGCCCAGAATTGAGGATTTTGTGTGTTCTGAGACCGTCAATGGTCTATATATAGAGGACATGTCCCGAAATCACAGGCAAAATTTCGGTCAAAATTTTTCGGAGTCCCCTTCTTGGGATCCACATTCTTGGGCCAATCCGGTCGTACTCCAAACTGACAAAGATATTGTTGCGTAGTTAGGAAAGCTATAGTTAGACCAAGTACTATTAGTACACAATGTCATGCTGGAGGTACCATGATTGGAAGGAAGAAGGGAAAGTAGTACTACATGTGAATGTACAAACTGAGATTACTCTTGAGTTTAATTTTGAGGGACTTATGCATACTATGCATAATTTGTGACTGGCCATGGCGAAACCATTCCAGATTGTCTGAGATTTTAGACGTTGGACCAAAGAGAAAAGCGTAACATACTTACGACGCGACGCCAAAGACTAAAGATAACCTTATTGTTATGGCTCAACAGTGAAGAACTTTAAGGCGCTATAGCCAAGTGGTTACGGCGACAGATTCGAATGGTAACATCTGATATCTGTTCCTCTTTGAGGGCGCAGGTTCAAATCCTGCTGGCGTCGTAAAGACTCCCGGAACATAGATTTTTTTTTTTCAGTATGTACCTACGTCGTCATCAGCTCTGCTTAACCAACGAACTCGATGTAAGTAGCCTGCAAAATCCTCCAGCTAGGAACTAATGAGCGAATAGCAATAAGAGTAGCGGAGGTACTTAGTGCGGTGAAGAAATATTTTACAACGCCCTGCTATCATTGCCAGGTTGTCATTCCTTGACCAGTCGATAACTATCTTGTTTTAATACCAATGAAGCCCACCAATTTTACTAGCGCTAGTACAAGCCGTCCATTCACATAACTGTATAACGATAAAAGGATTGACTATCTCCAAAATCGCGAAAACTTGTGAAATCATCTCGACAAGATATCCAGTTCATCCTTGGCTTTAACCATCTCCAGAAGATGCTCTTTATCCGCCGATTCATCTACTAGAGCTCGCAGCTTCCCATCCTTCTTTTTCAGCAATTCCGCAGGACGGTCAAATTCAGCCTGAAATAATGATAATAATAAATAAAAGAGTCAGTTTTCCGTTACAGAATGAAATGGAACACGAACAATCTCGCCAGCATCCAGCACCATCTAAGGAACGTCAGCAAATCTATGTCAGTAGAGAAACAGAAAATAAATTACGATCTTGTCCGCATCAGCAATTGACTGAAGCCTGTGTGCTACCGTGATTACAGTTACGTCTTTGTTCAGCTCGTTTCGAAGAGAAGATTGGATAACCGAGTCGGTTTTGTAGTCTAGACGAGGGTTAGAGGCTCAAGCCAACTCCTAGATACCGGAACCTCACCAATAGCAGATGTGGCTTCGTCAAGAATCAAGATCTTGCTCTCTCTCACCATTGCTCGTGCTGGAAGAATCAGTTGGGCTTTAGGACAGGGAGGAGTGTGCAACGCGTACTGACCTAATGCGATGATTTGTCGTTGCCCCACACTCATGTTATTTCCTCCGCTGGCGACAGCGCTATCTAAAGTTATTCTGTCCTCACTCTCCTCGATATCGTCTTGCAACGAGAATAACCCAGCGGACCGCAGTGCGCTATTCAACGTCGCGTCTTCTTGCTGGCCAAATGGGTCTAGGTTTTCTCGAACTGAACCGCTCAAAAGTTCAGGCTAAAAGCGCGCAGGCGAAATTCAGGTAAAAAGATGAAGGGAAGGTGAAAAGAAAACGTACAATCTGGGGAATGATCGTGATGTTTCGTCGTAAGTCTTCCAAATTGAGAGAGTTCGTCGCAAGTCCATCATAGTATACCGTTCCATCCGAAAAAATCAATCGAAGGAGCGACAACATTAAGGAACTTTTCCCACTACCCGTTCGTCCCACTTTTCTCCAGTCAGCTTATCTACGCTCGAACCATGGACATGTACGTACCAACACCAATACGCTCCCCTGACTTGACTTCGAAAGAGAGTTCTTTCAGCACCTTGGGACCATCCGGGGAATACCTCGCCGAAAGATTTTCGACGCGTATATGACCACTAGCCGGCCAATAAGCCGGAGGTACACCCTCGGGAACCGAAGGTTTTTCTTGTTCAATTGAGATGTAGGCTGCAATACGTTCGAGACTGTTACCCCGAACCTCGAACTGATTGAGAATTCGGATCCACCAGAGAATCATACCACTGAAACCAACTGCCAATAAAGATATGGTCAAGTCGATGGGAAAGCGAAAGTGGAGTATTTACCTGCCATATTGAGTGAGAACTGGCATGAAAGATAGGGTCAAATTACTCAAAGGAGATATATAAAGTGCTTACTCCGATATCTGATGCATCCGTGGCACGTACCACATATATCAAGTACGCAGCAAGTGCAGAGGAAAATATATTGCTGATTGCGTCAACACGAATATCAATCCACCTGGTTCACAAGGCATCAAGTCCCGGTATGATATGTGTAATGGCGAGTACAAACCTGTTGAGATTGTAATAAGTCCTACCAGGTCTTGAGTAGCGGTCTATTCTAGCTCGAACCTCGGTCTTGAAGGATTCTTCCACGCCGTATGCTCGGATAGACGCTGAAGTAGTCCCAGTCAAAACATTGTTAGGATATCTTGGAGATTACAAAAAAAACCTACTCAGTCCAGCCATCGCTGCGCCGAAACTGTAAAGAAATCGAAATCAGGCCGGATGATAACATGAACAAAAGTACTCACTGTCCAAGAACAGGTGCTTTTGCATTGGACATCTCTCGTTTGACTGGAAGCTGCGCTTTGATATAAACGTTTCCACACCAAGCCCCGAAAACCCCAACGAATGTTGCTGGGAGCAAGAACGTTGGTGTAAAGATGATCACCGCTAAGAATTTGAGGGCCATCCCCAAAGAAATTTCAACGAGGGCCGAAAACATCTGTGAGAGGGGATCGTCGACTAAACGTTATTCAGTTTTTTTTCTCAATCTAGTACGAAAACGAAAAACATACCGTCGCGGATATCCTGTGTACATCTTTCGAGGAGGAACAATGAAGTGAATTACTTCGCAGATATCGGCTAACCTACCTCGTTAGAAAACGCGAAGTGGGCGTCGTATCAAGCCACCTAGAACAGAACAGATACCGATTGATACTGTCAACCAACAAGTACAACATTATCAAGTACCTGAGAGTTGAACCGATGACCGAAGTAACGAGCCGCTGGTGGATAGTTCTTGAAGCTCTCAAAATACCCCACAAGTATATGACAAATCCGAGACAGAATGTTGCAATGAGAACAACCAGTATTGCAACTAGGATATATAAACACTAGGTCCTGAGATGGATAACTTTGGGGGCTTCGGGGCTCACCATATATAGCTAGATAGCTGTTGGGCAGTTTAGACAAGCTCAGCTCGAAGGGCATAAAACTCACAAAGGAACATATACTTGAGAAGGATCGTTAACTAGCTCGTACTGTCACCGGGTAGGTTAGACGAGTTCAGCTGAAAGGGATGGAAACTCACTTGTCGAGCCCAATAGCCGAGGAAGTACACCTGAATATTCTGAGCCAGTTCCGAAGCGAAGAAGCAAAATATGAATGCGAAGAAAAACCAAAAGGTATGATTTCCACCCATTGATTTGAGGAACAAGCTCACTGTAAAATTAATCAGAACGGTGTTGAAGTCATAGGATATAAAAGACAACGCACAGGCTGACCAGCTTACATGGCCTAACTCTACTTCTTCCTTCAAAATCAATTTTCCATCTTTGCCTGAGGGTTCATTGGGTGCCGATTGCGGATCAATTTCGTCTTCGGCCCTTTCCACTGCTTCTTCATCCTTTTCAACCTCAACCGCCAACACTTCATCAGTGGAGATCGCTGCATTAATAGATGTCTGGCTAGAGACACGGCCATCTTTGATAGACACCACAAATTTAGCGATGGGCTGTACTAGGACAACGTTGTGTGTCTATTTCTTTGTGAAAATTGAACCGAAAATAGTTTTGAAAGACTTACGACCAAAATGACTGTTCTCCCTCGAATGAGGTCACCTTTGAAGCACTTGTCAATTATCCATTTTGCGGTGTGCACACTAGGAATGCAAACGTCAGAGTTCATATCAATTTGAGAGTAGTTGAGAGTCGAATCACACTTACTCAAGCGCAGCCAGAACATCATCCAAAAGAAGGGTCTGTGCTCCGGAATATACAGCTCTCGCTAAGGTTACACGAGCCTTCTGTCCTCCGGAGAGGGTGAGCCCTTTTTCTCCAATCTGCCAGTTATTAGTGCTAGGAGCTCATAAGCATCGAATCAGGCATACCTCCGTCTCATCTCCAGCTTCGAACAGGGTAAGATCACGCTGAAGACAGCATTGATATATGACTTTTTTGTACCTCTCTTCATCGAAAACTGCACCAAAGACAATGTTGTCCTGAAACATGGATTAATTGAGTTGTGGAAGCGAAAAATGTGAGCCCACCCGTATAGTCGCATTCTGTACCCACGACTCTTGCGCTGCGTAGGCAACACCCGATGCACGAGGAAGGCCATACCAGGATTCAGGACCAGAAGGGATAAAGTGCATCTCCGAGAGCAGCGCCATGAGGCAAGAAGTTTTACCTCCACCCGTGGATCCTATCAAGATGTTAAACATGCCCTTTTTGAACAACAGTTCTCCCTCAATTCTGAGGAAAAATTTGCGTTGAGATGGGGTATAAGATCCGTCGTCACTTTCAGCGGACCAGGTGAAGGTTGCGTCGCGGAAGCCGATGGCATCAGGCGCTGGTGGTGGCGAGGAAATGATCGTAGTTTCTTCTCCGGTCTTGGTCCACGAATCAAGCAGTTCCGTCTAAGGAATGCAAGGTAAGAAAACAAGGTAATGGTGCGGATGGCGCTCACTTCGTATAAGAAGCCATTGATTCGATTTACAGAGACCAATCCGGTCAATGTTTGGGTAGCGAAAAATATTGTCATCCTCAGAACACTTAAGCACCAGTCAACCCCACTGAAAACAACGATTGAACGGTGCTCTTACTTGCTGAACCTGTCGAATATTACCATAGAACTAAACACTTTTGATGCATTCAGCTCCTCGTGGGCGATGAGCGTCTAGATCGCAAAAGATTAGGAAGCATCGGAAGGCGCAGGGACAAAGACCAACGAACACTACAGAGTCGTCATTAGCGAGTCAGCGTTTAAAAGATTCCTTCGACTTACTAAGTAGAATAGGTGGCGAGCATAGTGAGAACTGGAATGGTATGACTAGCAAAGGTATCAGTACCCTGACAACGACAGAAACGAACATTTTGTTCACTTTGTAATCGCAGTTGTCATCGAAAGCAGACGGAGTCTCTTGATGAAAGAAAGCTCTTCCTCTCGCTTGATTGCTATTCTTTCATTCATCATCTTCTCCCATCCAAACATCTTGATCATGCGTAACACATTCATTACTACACGCAATGATATCAACAGAGGCTGAGAACTGGCGGAAATAACCCACTTTCAGTCACAACTTGAATTCGAGCATCAGTACGTTTCATACGTGCTTTCTGAGCTTGCTGTATGAACCTTGCCAAAATGCCTTAATTG